GATGAGGTGAAAAAAGAGAGAGGAGAGAGGAGGTGTAGGAGACGAGGCAGTGAGCAAAGGAGTGAAGGAGAAAGAGGGAAAGGGGGAGCCAGGCTGTCGTGGAGCGCTGCCAGCCGTCTGTGTGGTCCATGCGTTCCAGCCCGGAGGAAGCTAGCCAGGCAAGGGAAGGGCACACACACACACGCGCACACAAAATTCCCAAAGGCGATACATTTATTGAATGCAAACACACTTTATACACATTTGTACAATACTGTACAAAGTTTAAAGAGCACCAGCGCGCACACACACATACACACAGAGTTTAGCTCATGTGTGGCTTTCAGACAGGCTCCTTCTGCACCTCTCTGCTCGCATTAACGTGTTTTGATTCAGAACAGGGGAGAACAAATCCATGTGAGATGTTTTTGTCGCATCTCGGGGCCAAACAAATCCAGACTCTGTCTCGTTATCTTTATATCTCCTTATGATTCACTTCTGCCTCCCTTTCTCGCTCTCCATTCTTCTGTTGTCTTCTTTGTCTCTCCCTCCCACTGGATTATTTTGTTCTTTAGACGCCTTGGCACATCTTCAAGGGACTTCATAAGACATTCAAGTGACTGGCCGCCTCTAGAAAAGCCTGAAGTATTTCTTTTCTTTCTTCCCTCTGCCCTTTTCTCCACCTTCCTACTCTGTTCATCGTTCATTTCATTGCCTTTTTTTCCCCTCCTGATGTTTGGATGACTTTTATTTGTTCAGCTACTATTGTAAAAGCTGTTTCAAGTGTGGCTGTAGCCGATAGGTGAATCTTCTGAAATCCTCTTTAATTACTTGGATGATGAACAAAAGAACACTGCTTCAGTTACTGCTTAAGGCAGTAACTGAAAGGGTACAATAATCCAGACACGTAGAGGGCTTCATTCCTGAACATAACTCAAGGATATTAAAAGGTATCTGTCTGACATCATTTGAATTTAACGGTTTAATGCAAATGGCACTTCAGCACTTACTGTACAAGCCCATGCAATGGCATTTGTAGGTGTGTAATATAAAAATGCTTGGAGGCATTTTTTTGTATCATTGTATCTAACAGTAGGCCCTACATGTTGCGTATTAACCCAGCTGAGAGTGTGCCAAACAAGAACCAATCACAGAGAAGCTCACAACACAGCAATATTGACACAAGCTGCCCACAGGAATCACAATAAGGTGATAAAGAAAAAAAATGAAAAATGAAAGAGCAGCAAATCTGTGTCAGAGTGTGTCTGCGATCGCTTTATTTTCAGTTTTAATAAAGTGTCAGTTCATTTTATTACAAAATAGCAACTCTTTTGTTGGCTGTTATTTTCTCCTTGTTCTTTACTGTAAATTAAGTATCACTAATTCAGTTAGCTCCACAACAAAAGCTCACCAAGTAGTAACACTGCTAATTAAGTGACATGTTTTTGTTTCCCTATCAATCATGCACCACTCCTAATGCCAAAGTCCTGAGTCATCTTTTTCCAGCTAAACTGAAACATAAGAGGTTTGAATGAAGATGATCCTGTCCAAGAGAAATAATCAAATTATATATCAGAGTAAGCAGCTTTTTATTCTGGATATTCCTGATCCAGATTTGTGAAAAAAATGATGGAAATTTTGCCGTGAGGAGTCCCCAGTTTTGGAATTCCTGGTTAGGAAAGCCAGCGTTGATTTTCCTGTTTTGGGTTTTTATATATATATATATATATATATATATTTTATTATTTTTTTAATTAATTAATTAATTTATTTTTTGTAAAAACGTTTTTTAAAATCATTTATTTCGTAATATTATTGAAAATATGCACACACTCTTGTCTTCAGTTTTACTCTGCAAAGCACCAAGTAGCTGCAAGTCAAGTTATTATCATCAAGTACATAGAGAAGCATAACTCCATATGGAAGTATTGTGCATCTAAGTGTGTGTGAGAGTGTGTGTGTGTTGCACGAGTTTGGCTTGGCAGACAGGTCTCCTGAACCACTAATATTGTCTGCAGGCTTGTAAGTACCATGGCTTCTTCACCAGACTTGTTAACACCCTGACCAAACCTGAACCAAAACACGACCCCGTCCCCATGCCCAGAACCCCCGAGACCATACGGCTTCAAACCCCATAGCGCAGAGACGGGCCTGACCGCTAACCTCCACTGCTGACACACAACATTCGCGCGCACACACCAAGTTATGAGAAATAACCACCGTGTTACGCCACAGCAAGACACAGTATGTGTAATGCCACAATGGTTTTTGTCACCCTCTGTGCTTGTCTGTCATCAATTAACTATAATGAGAATAGTGGGTTTGGACAGAAAGGCTTGTATATTGCGTTAATACGGCTCGGCTATTATCACTCAGGAAGTTTGTCTCAGCTGGCCACAGCCACCGTCAGGAGCAGCTGAAAGGAGACAGAACCACCTATAAAAGCATATTGGTTTAAACAACCACTCCCTGTCTATTAGCTCAAAATGACATTTAATGAGGCCTATTAGCTCTGCTCCAAATCAGCACTGTGGCTACACTAGACTAATGACACCAATAACACACATTCTGCAAACCATGTCATGTGGGGGCACGCCAGCAGACACAGGCGCTGCGAGAAACGCACGTGAGCAAACGGATACGCACATCTGCATGTGAGAGCACACACGGGCGCATGTATACACACAGTCGATGAGTCGTCTGTGCGGTGGCAAACCACAGGTTAACCGAGAGCTGTCAAGCGATTAAGCACAATACGAGCCACAAAAACCAAGTTAGCCTGCCGCTAATGACACAGTGGCCAGAGGGACCTGACTAACCACTTACCATACACACACACACACACACACACACGCACGCTGTAAACCTCTGAGGAAAATTATACCACAGATCTTTATACTTGGGTCTCGCTGATTTTCGTCACCGACCACGCAATTAATTAACGAAGACTCGGGTCCACAGTTCAGAGATGTGCGCCTCACTGAGTCACAGGGGTGGTCCGACTGATATTAGACAAGGGAGCGCTGGGAAAATGACATCCCTCAGGAAGACTCATATGGCTACCATAAGGAGCATCAAACAAGTTAACACAAAATCTACTTCCTGAATGAGACACCCACAACCAGGCGAGCAATCATACGGTTAGAAAAATAGTTAACACAAGCATAAAGAATATTTGGACATTTGAACTTTTATGTCAGAAACCAGCTGAAATCTTCTGCTATTGTCAACTTATTTTCCAGGAGGAAAACAAACAAAGTTTTCAAAGAGGAGGGCCACAAAGAGCTAGTGTATGTCAACTTTAAGATAGCCTACTGTTCCATCTCTGAGCGCAACCCTCCCTGGTGGGGCCTGGCTATACCACAGGCCTCCTAATTACCCACTCGTTTAACACAAAATAGAGCCGTAATGGCCAACAAAGCCCCCCCACGCCCCCTCCCAGCGTCTCAATGAAGCGTTCACAGATAGAATCACAGTTTTGGAGACAGTCACTGCTCTCAGCTCAGAGTCTCGGTGCTGAAAACCTGGAGGAGGGGGAGGCTCTGTGGAGAGGGCACATGTGTGTTTTGCCACCCTCCGACCTCGACTTAATGACCCCTGAGAGGGAGACGTGTTCTGGCTGTAGTTTCTGGGTAAATTACACCACCACTGTAATTCTGACCACTTAGCAGCAAAGGAAAGAAGTTCAGGGGTTATGCATGATGACATAGTCTTTATTGCTTAAATTACTGTCCTGAGACTGAAGTTGGAACATGCAAACTCTACTTTTATGTTTTTTTACTCAGGCTAAATAGAAGAAAAAACAATGCCTGTGAGAGTGAAGTCTTGTGCCAGTATACCCTCACCTGATCAGGTCTCCAGCTTAAAGACTCGCTTCTCATGTGTTCAGGCTTCTGGACGCAAATCTAAGACGGCAGCTCTGCTGAGGCCGCACCGAGCTTTTCTAAACAAATTCACTTCCGACTCCCATCTGCTCGCCACCAAATAACAGGACTTGTTTGAAAGTCATCTGGGGGGGGGGTGGGACAGCAGATGCACAGGAAATGCTTTTGATCAAACAAGATGGCTCGAGAGCGAGAACGGATGGTGGGGAAAAGTGGGCGTGAGCGTGAGTACATGTGCGTTTGAGGACAAGCATATGCCTTTGTTTCAGGGCGCATGTTGATGAGCGCTGAATGTCGAGTGCGTGAGGCATTTTTTGGCACCACAGGCAGGTTTCCTACAACGAGAGACTGATGGTGGTACTAATCCTAGTGTCTCCTGGCTCCTCTGTGTCTCTGTGTGTCCTGGTGCCATATGTGACAGGACAGGCGGGGCGAGTTGTTTGCGATGTGATATTGTTCATTGAGACGCCACGAGATGAGAATATGCTTTTTTTTTTATGAATAGGGAGGAGGGTTGTGGAAACAGCTGCATGCCAGACCAGTTGGCACTGTTGGCTATAGTAAAGTTTTTTTTTCCCTCCTCAGTTGTTTTTATATGGCCCATTAAAATGAGCTGATGCTAGCACTCTGCTACCCCGCGTACCCTCTGAGGAATACGTTGCCTCACATTTTATTTCTCTTCTGTCTCTCAAAGTGTCACATGGGAGGCTAGACTGCTTTGTGAGAAGTCTTTAAGTGATTGCTAATTAACACAATTTAGAACCTTTTCCTGTAAACCTTTTCTTTTTGGTTAATTTCCTCGTTTTATTAGTGTCATCGTTTAAGCCGGACGTTCGACTCTGTTTGCTGGCTGGACACATAGCTCGGTTAAAGGGCACTCCACTGAGTTTGCATATCAAGAATAGGTGAAGAACTATGTAAAAGTTAGCACAGTTAGCTCCCTGATATTATCATCATCACATATATGAGCTAGAATCTGATCCCACATAACACGGTGGAGGATTTATTCTAATAAAAAAGTAGATTCCCATATTTGAAAGCTTGCAAATTGGCAAACTGAAAGAAAACTTAGGATGCTTCCTTGTGTGTGTGCACTCATTTCCATACTGTACTGCTTGTGCGTGCATTGGTACTCACTCCTGGGCTCACGAGGTCCGTCCACGGTGACCTTTATGGCTCGGTGGTAAGTGGCCACTTGTGGCGGGTTGGTGAATACTGTGATTGTCAGAGTGAAGCTCTTGCCTGTAGTGACATCAAGCAACATCAAATGACAATTGAGACAATGGCTAGTATTCATCTCTACAACATCCCCAAGTCACAAGTGTGGTTGTGATCACATAATAGCCAATACAAACTGGGGAAGAAACGACTTAGAGAGGATTAACAACAGACAACATTGGCTGTTTGAGAGGGTCTATTTAGGTCCTTTGGCAGAGTCTAAATGGAAGACTGACTGCAGGAGCCAGTATCGTGTTATCCAGAATTTCTAATGCTCTGTGAGTGGGCGAGAGGCATTTTAATAGTCACTTCCTTTCTCGATAATCCCCAGCAGTTGCTGCCTTGGGGTTGAGTGTTTGTCTGTGCAAGTGTATGCGTCCCTATGTGCATGGATGAGGAATGCTATGAATCAGAGTCCAACAGCCAAGTCAGCAGGAACAGTAATATCTGAGGTATGCAGACGCAATGAGTAACCATGGCTACACGTTGGAAACAGGAAGCCCCCTGTCTATTCATCCGTACACCTGTGTGTGCCATCCCCTCCTCCGTTCTGAGCCCCGACTAAGTGTAAACATGCTTTTCAAAGATCAGATAGCAGTCAGACAGAGGAGCAGATCCTAGATGCAACAGGCGTCCCTCATACCTGTTTCAAGGTGCATGTGGGTGTTCCCGACCGAGAACTAGGGGTGGGGGAAAAA